TTGTTACTTACTTACTTACTTACTTACTTACTTACTTACTTACTTACTTACTTACTTACTTACTTACTTACTTACTTACTGAACAACTGACTGACCGACCCACCGACCGACCCACCCACCCACCGACTATTAACTTATATGAATAGAATGTGAAAACTTGATGACTGAGTTTGTAAAATGGTAAATAAAGCAGAGACATTAAATAACTAATTGAGACTTGTGTTGTTGTTAGGCGTTCAACTCTCTTGGAGAAGCAGCATATGACGCTGCACAGGTGTCTGAAGATGAAGAGGAACCGCAGACATATGCGTTGTCAACTTGGTTTCAACAGATTGTAGGAAAGCTTCTTGAGGTCACAGATAGGTATGAAATGCTGAACAAATTGTATGTTATTGCACCTTTTAGTTAAAGATCTCATTAATTTTTGGGTTGGGCACTGCACAAACGGACTGACTGTGAAAGCTTAATTTTGCTTGCCTTCAATTTTTTTTTTGTATCAAGACGTTCAATTTAAAAACATTTGCCTACCTTTGAAAACCAGTTTCCTCAATGCTGACAACCTTAATGAGACCGTTGCTTTCAATAGCATGTAATAATAATAGAACCTTGTGTTTTATGCTGCAGCCAAATTCAAAAGGTTGCGATTGATGAATTTTAAACAATTTTTGTTCAAATTCTCAGGGGTTTTGTTAATGTTCTCAGCAGGAGGGTAATATACCTGGTGCTTGGCCATCAATGAAACCCCTGAATTTTGCTGCCATAAATGCTGCATCCTTTGATGAGTAAATAGTTGTGTCCTATAACCTTCCTACTTCTTTCTTTCCTCCAGGTGTGATGCTAATCAAGGAAATCTTAGAAGTTCAGCTTATGAAGCTGTAATGGAGTTGATTAAGAACAGTGCAAAGGTACCCAGTTTTGCCTCCCTAAAAACAGTGCTTGTTTCTTAGCTCAGCCTGATAAAAACTGAGTACATGAAAAAAATATATGTACGGGTCTGACAGTGACCACAAACTAAAACCTTGTGTACAGTGTGGGATTTGAAGTTCCAGATAGGAGCATGACTTTCCTAAAAGTTCCTCCAGCCATGACTAGTTGTCATACATTTGTTAACATTTTTTTTTTTTTTTGGTTTTTGTAACAAGTGTTGGAATTAAAGAGTAAATAGCTAAAGGTTGTAATTTGTTTTTCTTTTTTTTTTTGTTTTTGTTTTTTCTTGTAGGACTGTTATGAAGTTGTTCAAAAAACAACACTGGTCATTCTTCAACGGCTGCAGCATGTGTTACAGATGGAGGTGGGCTCATTGTCTGATTATTTCATTAAATCCAAGAATTATGATTAAAATTTTCCTTGTGTTGTGATTCAAATTTATAAAGATATTTTGTCATTGTTTTTGTAGAAAAGTGTATCAGACAGAGCCCAGTATAATGACTTGCAATCCCTTTTATGTGCCACACTACAGGTATGTAGTTGTCTCGAAATAATTAAATATTGACTTTTTGATTTTCCTTAAAGTCATAGAATGGCAACTTAACCAAGAGTGT